AGGCTGGTGAGTGAGCGCATTGCCTTAACTTCAGCTTGGATTTGGACTCTGAGGCTTCCTGGTTCCTTCTGAGGCTGTGATGTGCAGAGCAGGTGGCAGCTGCTGCTCCTCTCTTTTAATATTTAGCCCCCTCCCCTTTCCGTTGCTGTTGCTCCTGGACTGCCAGGCTGTTCTGGGCTCAGCCTGTGGAGATTGCCTGTCATCCCTTAGGCCATTCTGACAAGGACTTGGCGGGGGCCCGAGCCAAGGGAGGTGGCTGATGCTTGGATGCATTTAACTTTGTGGATGTCTTTCCTCTTAAAGGCAACAGTAGGGAATTTCTTAGACAGGTGTTTGTCCTTTGGTGTGTGTGTGTGTGTGTATAAAAAAATATGTTGAAAGCTTCCTTAAACTGCATCAGACTGTGGGTCCATCTAGGTTCTGTATTGTCTGCTCTGACATGTGGTGGCTATCCAGGATTTCAGAGGGCCTTCCTCCAGAATAAATTAAGATTCTAGCCCTCATGGTTCTGAAGTTCAAAACAAAGGCATGGTTTAAATAAGGAGTGGTCTTATGCTGAGTCAGGCCACTGGTCCATCTAGTACAGGGGTCGACAACCTAAGGCTCATGGGCCACAAGCGATCTACGGGGGTCGTTTAACTGGCCCCTGAGCCGCCCCCATACTGAGCCGCCCACTTGGCGAGTCCCCACGCGCTGCGCTAAACCAGCGCAGCGAGGGGACTTGCTTCCACGGCGCCGGAAAACGTGTCTGTGCATGCACAGATGTTGAAAATCACATCTGCACAGATGTTGGAAATCACACGAGCGTGCGATCCAGCCCACAGAGGGATCTCCGCTGGAGTAAACCTTGCCAGCCCCAATCTAGTAGCTCAGTATTTCCTGCATGGACTGGCAGCAATGGCTCTCCAGGGGTGCAGGCAAGGGACCTTCCCAGCCCAAACTGGGCATGCGAGGGATTGAACCAGGAGCTATCTGCAAACATCTGCTTAAGAAATTAAGTAGAGCCTGGCTGCTGGATCAAGCCAGTGGTGCATCTGGTCCAGCATCCTGCTCTCACAGTGGTCCACCAGGTGCCCCAGCTGGGGGAAGCCTGCAAGGAGGACTGGCTCCCTCCTTGTTGTCCTCCACCAGCAGGTGAATGTTGTTGTTTTTTGGGAGGTTTTTGGAACTGACTTTTTTTTAAAAAAAGGAAAGGGCTTTTAATAGTTCTGTGCTGTTTCTATTAGTTGTATTTAATAGATCCTTTTAAATATTGTTTTAACTCTGTTACGGTTTAATTATTTTCTAATTATTAACTTTTAGCTTTTTGTATTTCATTTGTGTTGTTTTAATTTGTGAAAGCCACCTGGTCTGGAGAAAAGGCAGGATATTGATACTATCGATAACAACAACAGTTGTTTTCTTATCCACAAACAATGATAAATCCCCCTCATAACTTTTAAAATAAAATCACCCAGCGCAGGGACAAAAGTTAAGATCTACCTGTGAAGAGAGGAGTTTGCATTCTTTTTTCTGTTTTTATTTTTGTTTACATTAGTTAGGTTATTTTATTGTCATGTATAAGATTATATGAAAAGTCTTAATAAAAATCTTACTAAAATAATAATAATAATAAATCACCCAGCACGCACAGAAAAATAGGGGGTGATGTTCAGGTAAATTTACTCCAAACATTACTAACTTTTATCAGGACATAGAAAAGAAAGTACTTCTTTGCACAGCACATGTTTAAACTATGGAACTTGCTCGCATAGGAGGCACCAACTTGGATGGCTTCAAAAGTTTAGACAAACTCACAGAGGAGAGGGCTAATGAGGGCTACTAGCAGGATGCTATGCTCTGCTGCTGCAGTTGGAGACAGCAATGCTTCTGAATATCACTTTCTGGAAGCCACAGGAGGTTTGAGGGTTCTTGGGCTTGGGTTCTGCTTGCTATAGTTTCTCTGGTTGACCACTGTGAGAACAGGATGCTGAAGTACATGGGCCATTGGTCTGATCCAGCAGGGCACCTTCTTATGTTCTTAACCTAGTCATGCTCAGGAGGCTCTATTCTCAGTCAAAACCTCCCACACACTTTTTTGGGAAGGAAGGTTGGATCTGGCTTGATCGCTTGCAAAAAGCAGAGTGAAGAAATTCATCCGCTGTCCCTCATCAGATGCTCTTTGGAGCGCTTGAGCACAGAAGAGGAAGGACTTCTTGGCGCCAGGGTGGGAGAGGGGAAGACCCCAGGATGTGTCGTGGTTTTGGGGCCAGCCACTGAAAGAGGAACCTTGGGAGGTTCCCGTTCCTGGGAGCTGAGTTGCCCGTGGCTTGAGGTTTCTTGCTGACACATGCGGAGCATCGCCTTTGCTGTGTACAGCCTGGGTGGACAGGTGATGGGGAAAAAGTGGTTGGGCACTCAGACTCTGAAGCCGTGATGCACAAAGTCCCCAAGTTGAAGCTTCTGAACAGTTTTGGTTTTTCATTCACTGCCAGGCAGTGTTGCCCAATGGTCAAGAGAACTGTGGTCCAACCACACCTGGAGGCCACCAACTTTTTTATCCGTCTTGCTCCAGAAGGGAAGACCCAAACCAATGGATTCAAATTGTGAGGAAGGAATTTCCAACTAAAACCTTAGAAAGAACTTTCTGCAAGTAAGAGCTGCTTGATAATGGGATGGAGTCCCTTGGAAGGTGGTGGACTCACCTTCGTTGGAGGATTTTAAACAAAGATTGGGTGGCTTTTTTTTCAAGGATCCGTTAGCTGTGATTCCTGCATTGCAAAGGGTTGGATTAGATGACCCTTACAACTCTGGAATTATATGATCCTATACTGGTTGTTGTCAGGATAAAATGGAGAGGGGCAACTCCATGCTTTGAGCTCCTTTGAGGAATGGTGAAATAGAAATGAAGTAAAATAATAATAACAATTAAACAGAAAAGGTCTATGTGAATGCTAGCTGAATCTTTTTCCTCCACACTGAGATAAATAACATACTTGTGACTTTAGCAAGGCTAACCCCTACTCCTTGCTCTTCCTCTGAGCTGGTGATCACCAGGCAGTTTGCAAAGAAGCAACTGAGTTTCCCTTCCCCCATGGAAAGGAAAAAGAAAAAAACACGCCCACATATTCCTTGCCAAAATAAAGAGAGGAAACAAGGCAGCCAACTTGCAACAGGAAATTTTTTTGCACCAGGCGGCTTCAGTCCTCAGGCGGAGACAGGACTGGGCGGAGAGAGAAACAGAAAGTGCTGATCTCAGAAGTTTAGAAAGGGGGGAAGCCCAGTTTGGCTGGGATGGCTTCCAGAAAAGCCACACATCTTCTTTTGGGGCACCACTGCAGGATCTCAACGTGTGACTCTGCAGTGGGGGCAGATAGATATTTGATATACGTGCATGCCGAATTCGGCAGAGATTTTATTGGCTTCGTGATAAAGGCGAACCTATGCAATCCACACTTCCCTAAACAAAACCTAAGAATGTAAGAAGAGTCCTGCTGGATGAGCCCAAAGGGAGCCCATCTAGTCCAGCATCCTGTTCTCACAGTGGCCAACTAGATGCCCTGATGAGAAACCCACAAGCAGGACCTGAGAACAAAGAGCCCTTTCCCCCTTCTGGGGTTTCCAGCAGCTGGAGACTCTCCTGCTGCTGCTGTGGCTGTTGAAGGGGGCTGTCATCTTCCCCCACCCAGAGACTCCTCCTGTTGCTGCTGTGGTTGTTGGGGGGCTGCTGTCTCCCCCACTTGGAGCACTGCTGCTGCTGCGGCTGCTACAGAAGCAAATAGGACTGCAGAGAGTACTGCAGGGGCCAGGTCCCTGGGCAGGCAGGCGAAGTGGGAACAGCTGCTGCCCCAGCTGGGCGTGGTCCAACTGCTGGGGCAGCATTATAAAGTCTGCCTGCCCTGAATTCCATCTACTTGGCCCTGCAATGCCAGGTCAATGGTTCACAAGACCACTGCCATCCATGACTTGATCGTGGATGGAGGACTTGACCTGGCATGTGTAACAGAGACTTGGTTGGATGAAGCAGATGGGCCTGTCCTTGCCACTGCTTGTCCACCAGGTTTCTCTTGCGCACAGCAACCTAGGTCATGTGGGCAGGGAGGAGGGGTTGCTTGCTTGATTGATTGCAGTGATTTTTAGGAAGTCATTAGCTTGCACCAGGCATCCTATTGGAAAGACCCAGATTTCTGAGTGCATGTTCTGGATGTTGGGCAGTACAGGATTCCTTTTGGTGTACCGACCTCCTAGCTGCATCAAGGATTCCCTGCCCAAGCTGCTTCAGGTCGTGGCGGATGTTCTCCTAGAGACACCTAGTTTGGTTGTCCTAGGGGATTTTAATATCCACGCCAACACGACCTTACAAGGGGCCGCTTGGGACTACATGGAAAGCATGGCCTCCATGGGGCTGTCCCTGAATAAGTTTGGCCCAACACATAGTCACGGATATGCTTTAGGCTTGGTGTTCACCTCTATGGATGTTGGTGATCCAACACTAAGCAAAAGCAAAACAAAAGAAGTCCCATGGTCCGATCACTTGCTGGTGCAACTGGACTTCTCCACAACCCTTCCCCTCTGCAGGGAGGTGGGACCGATTTGGATTCTCTACCAACTGAGCTATCCCCAGAGGTCGAGAATTAGCAGTCAGTGTAAGCTGCAGTGAGCTAGATCAACTCTCAGTTTGACTCAGAATAATGCAGCTTCTTGCATTCCTGTTTGAATCAGCCCTTTATTAAGAACTAGTCTGGAGTATTGTGTGTATTGGAATATTTGGATATATGTGGTTTCAGATCCGTCTTCGGCATAGAGTACATTCTGAGAGTGATCTAGGGGCTCCAGGTTTCTTAGTCTTTTTAAATGTCAAAGTTGTGCTCTCACAGCTGTTATCCTGGGATTGCTAATGTGTACACATATGGTATGCCTTTGTGCTATACAGTTACTTGAAGAGCACTCCACTGTTCTGAAGCCTACATGTCCATAGTTCTCTCGCTTGATGGCTCCTGTTTCCTTCTTTTCTCTTCCAGCTCAATTCTCCAATGAACCCTGTCAGCAGCACAGAAGATATCAAGCCTCCGTTGGGAATCAACGGGGTCCTCAAAGTTCCAGTGCACCCATCATCTGCCATGGCCTCCTTCACCAAGCACATATGTGCCATTTGTGGAGACAGATCTTCAGGTAGCGCCAATGTTTTCAAACACCCTCCAGGGGGAGGCAGGATATGTGGGGCAGCAATGAGTGTTAGCTTGGGAGTTGCTCTATGCTAAGAAAGATCAGAACTAATTTACACCAAATTAGGGATTAATTTGTACTTATTTGTTTCACAAAATTTATACACTGCTTGATTGCAGTATGCAAAAAGATGAAACGATAAAATTGTCCCTAAGTAGAATTGATAATCATTTAAGAAATTTGAAAGGTTGAAATCACAATTATAAATAAATAATTATAAATATATAATATATAAATTATAAATAACAAACTCAAATGGGATTTTAGCAAGCCCCGAAAAGAGTACTGTGAAGGCCCCTGCCTTCACTCAAGAGGCAAAGGGTTAAAAGTTTAGGTGCTGTCACACACAAAAATCCATTTCTTACAACGTGGAATAGGTGATCTTGTAGGTAAACTGGCCCAAAATTCTTAAGGGCTTTTTAAACACTAATTGTATCACCTTAGCTTATCTTTCTTCCCCGCCTCTGGATAAATTTGAAACAAGCCAAGCTTCTAGTCTTGCCTTGGTAATGGACTGGGTGAGAGCCAACAAACGGAAGCTCAATCCTGATAAGACAGAGGCACTGCTAGGGGGCGGTTTCCTGGACCGGATGGCTGGGAGGTTGCCTGCTTTTAATGGGGTTACTCCCTTTGAAGGAGCGGGCATGTAGCTTGTGGGTACTGCTGGATCTTTTGCTGTCGCTTGAGGCTCAAGTAGCCTAAGTGGTACAGAATGCCTTCCATCAGCTTCAGCTGGTGGCCCAGCTGTGGCCATATGCTACGTTAACCTCCAGGTTAGACTAATGCAATGTGTTATACATGGGGCTGCCTCTGAAGATGGTTTGGAAACTTCAGCTAGTGCAGAATTCAGTAGCCAGGTTGCTCACCGGGGCAAGATGGCTTGAACATATTACGCCAATCCTGGCTGACTGCAATGGCTGCCAATTAGTTTTTGGGCCCAATTCAAAGTACTGAGTTTGACCCATAAATCCTTAAATGGCTCAGCACTTCAAGGACTGCCTCTCCCCATATGAACCAACCTAGACTCTGTAATCACTACTTCTTTGTGTGTCTCCTCCATGAGAGATCTGGGAGGTGGCAGCCTGAGAACCGGCCTTTTCTGTGGTGTCTCCCCGTTTGTGGGATGCTCCCCCAGGGAGGCTCGCTTGGTGCCTTCGTTGCCTATATTTAGGTGCCAGGCAAAAACATTCCTCTTCTCCCAGGCCTTTGGATAATTAAACAATCTATGGTCTTTTGACCTGTGTGTGGGGTATTGTTTTTGTTTGTTGCTATGTTATGTATTTCTGTGTTTTTATACTGTAAACCATCCTGTGATCCTCAGTTGAAGGGTGGTATATAAATTTAATAGATAAAAATATTCTCTAACCTTCCTGCAATCAATGACATACCTGTATCCTATACCCCTCCTGAGCCTGGAAAAGCCCATAGAGCTAAAAGAGAAAATGGGATAGAGTGGCACTCTTCCAACTTCCTCCTTCAGCTCTATGCGTTTTTTAACTATGCGCACGACCTCATGACCAAGTTAGCCTCATTATCACCGTATTGTTGCTCTTTCTCTGTCCCCGCACCCAGGTAAACATTACGGGGTGTACAGTTGTGAGGGCTGCAAAGGCTTCTTCAAGAGGACAGTGAGGAAGGACCTGACGTACACCTGCCGGGACAATAAGGACTGCTTAATCGACAAGCGGCAGCGGAACCGGTGTCAGTACTGCCGGTACCAAAAGTGTCTTGCGATGGGCATGAAGCGGGAAGGTAAGGCGAGAAGGCAGCTCAAGACTTTGTGAGATCCAAAATTAGGTGGCAGGGTTCTGGGCTGAACCGCTTACGGCAATGCTAGAACCCAGAGGAATCCAGAGATGCGTGACATGCGAAAGGAATCACTTCTTCATGCAGTGTATAGTTAAAACTATGGTGTTTGCTCCTACAATACGCAGTGTGGACTAGCAAAATTTTGGATGGCTTTAAAAGAGGATTCGATGAATTCATGTCGGATAAGGTGACCAGTGGCCACTAGCCATGGTGGCAATGCTTTACCTCCACAGTTGGAGGCACTGATAGTTCTGAATGCCAATGGCTGGAAAACACACTGCGGGAAGAGGGCTGTTGTAATGTAGGACACTTGGCTTGGTGGGCATTTGATATGGAAGGGATCTTAGGTTCTCATGTGTTTGTAACTTGGAGTGTGGTTGTCATTAAAAAAGCAAAAATGTTATCACATATATTAATCTTCAATGGCTTTAAATGTGGATCTAATTATCCTGGAGGGCTTTAAAAGAGGATTGGACAAATTCATGGAGGGGAATACTATAGCAGGCTACTAGCCGTGATTGTCCATGGTTTGAGGCAGCAGTACTTCTGAATCCCAGTTGCTGGAAGCCACAGGGTGGCAGAAAGCTCTTGTATTTGCGTCCTGCTTGCGGGTGGGTTGCCCATCAGGGCATCTGGTTGGTGACTGTGACGTCTTATGTTCTTAATCCCCCTCCTATGAAATACTATATTAGGAAGAAAGGTTAGAAAAAACTCCGCTGCAGAATGGGGCTGGAACTTGGGAGTTTTTCTGTAACTTACCAGTGTCTCATTTTCCGTTGGCCTAAGCTACTCTGCAAGGTAGTTTCAGTGGTCAAGTGAACCAGGACCAGTGTTAGGAGAAACTCAGATATATAAGCTAATCACCGCGTGGAATCGTAAACCTAGGATATGATCGCCATGGAATGTGTAGATGCCATTATTCTTGAATAGGGCTTCTCTTCTTTTTCTTCCTACTACTACCACCACTACTACCATTACTAATATTACTACTACTTTCATTTCTATTGTTACTTCCATTTCTATACTGCTTTACATTTTAAAGGAAAAAATTCTCAAAGCGGTTTGCAACACATTAAAACATATATAAAACAATCCAGAATAAAACTAACCCAAGCTTCAATGAAAATATTTCAGATCCTTCTCTAAGTGACATTTTTGCTTTCCCCGTATTTAGGTCTGCTTAATTTATATAGCTGCCCCATAGCAGAAGTACCCTAGGAAGCCTGTGTGGTGTATTGGTTAGAGTGTTGGACCAAGACCTGGCAGATCAGGGTTCAAATCCCCACTCAGTTATGAAACTCACTGGGTGACCTGGGGCCAATTACAGCCTCTTAACCTACCTAACATGGTTAGGTTAGCCTTGTACTTTTTAGAGAAAAAAGTGAGCTGTAAATGCTAAGTTCTTGCGCTTACCCACTTAAGAAAGCTGGAGGGGTCAGCCAGATGGAGACATCAGTCACCAACCCGGCATCCAGAGATCTGCCCATGGCCATGATTGGATCCGTGCCAGTTGCAAAATGTGCCTGGCACCTGGGGAGTTTCTAACACTGGCCAGGACCATGTCCATCTTAGGCTTGGGATGTGAAGGACAGAGCAGGATAGGGTACCAGTGCAGAGCTTTGGGGGATGATGCTCTCAGCTTCACTTCACACCCCCCCCCCCGGCCTTAGCTAAATACAGGCACTCAAAGAACTGTTTCTCCACCTTCCTGCACATCCTGTGTTTCTGCCCTGCCTGCAAGAGGCAAGCTCTCCCGAGCATCCTTCTCTGCATTGCCCTAAGCACCAAGCGAAGCTGTCGTGCTTGATCTGTGGAGTTATTCAAGGACTTGCACGTGCAGCTGCTGGAAATGTCAAACTCTTCTCTCAGGAAGGTGATGGACAGAAGAGTGTTTGGAAGAAAGTGTGGAGGGCCCCAGAAAACAAAACAAGAACATATATGATGGGAGGGTGATGTCAGGTCTTAGGTGGCAAGTCAAATGTGGAACAAGGTTGGCTGTAAGCAGAGCCTTGCCTGGGCCAGACTTAAGAGCCTGCCTAACACAGCATCCTTTTCCCTTCAATTGCCAATCAGAATGCAAGAAGCTGCTTTGTATTGAACCCGATCATTGGTTCATCTAGAACAGTGCTGCCTACACTGACTGGCAGTGGCTCTCCTGGATTTCAGGCAGGGAGTCTCTTTCCCATCCCTACCTGGAGATGCTGCTGGGAATTGATTCTGGGACCATCTGCATGCAAAGCAGATGTTCTTAACCACTGAGCCATGATGCTTCCATTCTATGTCTGCAAAGGCTTTATGATCTGGTTTTCAGAGGTTCTATTTAGATTGGGTGGAGAACATCAGGCCTGAGTACCAGACGTGGCCTTGTGGCCCTCTCTTTTCTGGCCCTTGGGAGTCTCTCCAAGCCACACACACTCACTGGCCTTCTGCTGCCCCCTTCTGGGGTGCCTTTGGTGGCTGAAATGTGTCCTTGTGCCAGGAGTATGCCCATTGTTTGCCTGGAAGGAGAAAGATGTGCTGTATTTTTTGCTCTATAAGACGCACCTGACCATAAGACACACCTAGTTTTTAGAGGAGGAAAACAAGAAAAAAATATTCTGAATCTGCGCGGCGCCTCTCCAGCAAAGTGGGAGGAGAAACGGAAGGGGCTCTGTTTCTCCTCCCGCTTCGCTGAAGGGGCGCTGCGCAGCTTTCCCTCTCTGCGCAGCGCTTTTCCAGCGAAGCGAAGTCGGAGCAGCAAGAGGGATCACTGCGCAGCGAAAGCAACGATCCCTCTTGCTCTCCTGGTTTCAGCAATAGCTGCACAGCCTGCATTCGCTCCATAAGATGCACACGCATTTCCCCTTACTTTTTAGGAGGGAAAAAGTGCATCTTATAGAGTGAAAAATACGGTATGTAAAGTGTTGGGGTGGCGAGGGATAGACACTTTTGGCTTTTGCATTGCCATAATGTAGAGTTAACGTCAGAATTGCAGGTGAAAAAGTGAGGAAAAGATGCTTGGTGTTTATAAAATTATGCATGGCATGGAGGAAGCTTTTCTCCCTCTCTAAGTGTCCAAAGAAAGTGAATGTTTGAAGATTCCAGGGAAATAAATGAACGTACTTGGTTAAACTCCAGAACTGCCACAGGAGGCATTGATGGCTACCAACTTCAATGGCTTTAAAAGAGGCTTAGATTAGATGGGGCATTGGCCTGATCCAGTAGGCACTTCTTGTGTTTTCATGTGCCACTGCTAGGAGGGGTTGTCACGTGGAGCAAAAACAGGATTTATGTTTTGCCTTGTTCTTAAGCCCGTGGGGTAAATGCTTAATTCCTCCCCCCCCCCCAATAGTGATGCTTCAATCTGTGTGGGAGACATGCTGTTGCTCAGTAAGTATGTTCATAGTGGGGAAGTGGGTGTTTGTGAGTGTAGTGCAGTCTGCTTATGCTCAGAAGCACTGTCTTTATTCAGTTGTTGTTTTTGTCTAAGGACATTGTGTTCTGGAATTCGCTGACAGATAAATGAGTGCAGGCATTCATGCTTCAAAGATGTTTGTAAACAAGCCTAGGATCATTTGATGAAGGGCAGTACTGTTATGTGGATTTCTTAAATAAACAAGTAAATGAAAATGCCACCACATCCTGAAAATTGTATACCTGCAATTGCAAAATGCATGTACACTTATGATATTCTTAAGGCTGCAGTCGTGTATTTACTTAAGAGCAAATCCTATCACATGAAACAGTTGCTTACTTTGCAAGAAGCACACACAGGGTTATGGCCAGTGGCGTAGCGTGGGTTGTCAGCACCCGGGGCAAGGCAAGTAATGTGTGCCCCCTAACCTGTGGATTTGTGCCCCCTAACCTGTGGATTTGCCCTAACCCCAGATGTTGCGGCCGGTGCGGCCGGCCCCCCTGCACCCCCCACGCTACGCCACTGGTTATGGCATGAACATTTCGCAGAGAAATGTAGAAATGCATGCAGTCTGGAGCAAAAGAAGCAGATGAGATGGTGGGCAGATTCATCCCGATGTGAGAAACCCGGATGGCTTTGCCCCACAGTCCTGAAATCTTCCCATTTCCCTGGTTGTTTTTTTACAGATTGGTTGCACAGAACTAGAATTAGCCTCTTTCCCCTGTTTATCCTGGAATGACTCTCTCTTGGATTTGTGCTCTTGGAAGGAGGCGGTTGCACAATAACCCATCCCTGAGTCTTCTTGCCATTGTTGCTCGCTGGCCTTTAGCAAATGAGTTGGATGCAGGCACAGGGCTGCCCATGGCAGGCAGGCTGGTCTCAGAGGCAGCTGGTCTGGCATCTTGGGTGGAGAGAGGGAGGGAAGAGAAGGGGGCTAAGTGAGCTGACAGCAACCCACGCCAATCTGGTGCCTTCCAGGTGCTCTGGACTGTAACTCCCATCAGCTTCAGCCATCTCAACTGTACAACATGAGGGCCATGGTGAACAATTGTGCGTCCATTGTCCACAGCATTATATGACGCCGCTCGCTCTGGCTAGTGGGTTGTGTAGTCCATAATATCCAGTAGGGTGCCGTGTTGGGGAGAGACCCATTGCTGGGCCAGTAAAATACGGTTTTCTGTTACACACACACACACGTATACGGGGCACTGCTGTGTGAAGTGCTGTGTGAAGTGCTGTTCAATCTAGGTGCTTCCTTGCTCGCCTGCCTGCCCACTGCTTATCATGCTGCTACCTTTTGGTGACAATGTGAACTGCAGAGCATGACGACATCCTTCCATTTTTATGTATATAGGGAGATAGATCAATATAGATTTAATGTCTGCATTATTTCATTCCTTCTACCCCTCCACTCATGACATACTCCTGTGCATTTTTCATATATAACACATCCTCTTATATGTTTGCGATGCATGCCGTCTGACTCAGAAGGAAAGCCTCGTGGAGTGGGGATTTTCTCCCTGAAATAAAATATGCACAGAATCTCTAGTTTTAGGGAGGAGGGTCTGGAGCTCAGAGCTCATTACAGGCACATGCTTGGCATATTGCAGGGTCTGCCTGAGATTCCTTATGTGGTGGGGGATGGGGATAATACGATTTTTTAATGATTGTATTTATTTATAACGTGCAACCCCCACTGTTTAACCAAAAAATGCTCCCAAGGTGACTTGCCAAGCTCAGTTTTAAGCATCCAATTTAAAAAGACACAGCATGCAAAGAAAAATGGAATGGGAGGGAAGAGGAAAAAGCAAGCTGAAGTGCAAATTCTTAAAGTTCTTTAAAGTCACATCTGAAGTCTATGGTGGTTCTGGCTGTCTTTTCACGCACGCGCACACACACACCAGCTCCCTAGAAGCAAAGCAGGTGACAACATGTAGGCTAGGAGGACAACTTGCCACACATTTTGTTTATTTATTGCACCTACATCCCAGTTTTTCCTCCAATGAGCTTAAGGTGACCTACATGGTTCTGCCCCTCCTCATGTAATCCCCACAACAGCCCTGCGAAGTAGGTCAGGCTGAGAGACAGGGACTAGACCAAGACCACTCAATGAACTGATGAGATTAGCAGTGGGGTCTCCCAGGCCCCAGTCAGATGCTCTAACCAGTACACCACACTTGTACCTTTAATAATGACGACTACCACTGTATTTAAGCATTTCTGTTGATAAAACATACTGAGGCAAAGATTGTCATTAGTGCATGTGGTTGATCTTTTGCAACTGGTTGATCTCAGGATTCCCCAAACCACACGGAGGTGATGTCCACTTCATTCCAGGAGTTCCTGTCAACTCCTTGAGCTTTTGTAGAAAGGGCGTGTGTCTTGATTCTGCCTAGCAAAGATTTTGGAAGAGGGGGAGAGGGAATGATGCCATAGCAAAGAGGCCTCTGGACCTCAAGCACCATGACCAGGCAGTGTCTACCTACCTTCTCTGAGCTCAATAAGATTATCTGCGGTACATAGCAGCCTTCTCTTTGACACCATTGGAAAATGGCTTGTCTGTTCTAGAAAGCTGTCCGTAGGGGCAGAGAATTCAGAGGGAAAATAACAGAGGCTTCTAAACAGCCACACTCCTGGGGTGAGTAAAAACTCATTCTAGGCGTTGTATTTTTATGTTGTGAACCGCCCTGTGAATTTCGAATGAAGGGCGGCACACAAATTAAGCAAACAAATAAAATAAACCCTTTGCAAGCCGGATAAACATTGTCAGACCCTGACCCCTGTTTTTCTTTTCTTTTCTGTTTTTAATGGATCATTTTTGACAGGTGAAGTGCCATGCTTTGTGGATGGCGCTTTTGGAAAAATAATAATAATAATCCAGAATAATACTTTGAATAGTTATAATGTCAAACAGCAGCAGCAAGAGCAGGATCATTTACTACCGCGATGTTTCATTTCAAAATTTTTACTCTATTACAGGGATGGAGCACCATCCATCCCGGCCCACAAGACTCCCTGGAAGGCAGGAAGAACAAGGTATTATTCCCATTTCAATATTTCTAGACCAGCTGTTAAGCAGCAAAAGAGAATGTTTATATATCTGGAGGTGTAAAAATGAAACAAGCCCAGAGCTAAACCAGTTCTTTCTTCCTGGTTCCGCCAGGCCAGATTCTCCCCCCCCCCCCATGGAACTTTTCCCCTTTCCAGTTTTGGAAGCCTGATTAGCTTCAGATGCACAGAATCATAGAATTGTAGTGTTGGAAGGGACCTCCAGGGTCATCTAGTCCAACCCCCTGCAATGCAGAAATCTCAACTAAAGCATACAGGACAGTTGGCCACCCAGCCTCTGCTTAAAAACTGCTACCACCTCCTGCAGGAGACCGTTCCACTGTCAAACAGCTCTTGCTGCTGAGTCAGAATCTCCTTTCTTGTAACTTGAATCCATTGGTTGGGTTCTCCCTTCTGGAGCATTAGAAAACAATCTTTCTCCATCCTCCATATGACAGCCCTTTTAGATATTTGAAGATGGCTATTGTATTACCTCTCGGATACAATTTTTGTTTATTTAAATGAATTCAGATTAAATGCCTCCCAATTGGACCAAGGAATCCTGACCTACCAGAGGTGGCCCAGAGGGAATCTGGAATTGTAGGGTTTAACTGATAAGTACAGAGTATTAGGGTGAGAGGCAGGGTACATGGGAATCCCTTCAAAGAGGAGGTGTCTCCTCTGATTTTGGAGGAAGCGTTATTTAAAAAGGTAAAGGGACCCCTGACCATTAGGTCCAGTCGTGGCCGACTCTGGGGTTGCGGCGCTCATCTCGCTTTATTGGCCGAAGGAGCCAGCGTACAGCTTCCGGGTCATGTGGCCAGTATGACTAAGCCGCTTCTGGTAACCAGAGCAGCGCACGGAAACACCTTTTACCTTCCCGCCAGAGCGGTACCTATTTATCTATTTGCACTTTGACATGCTTTCGAACTGCTAGGTTGGCAGGAGCAGGGACCGAGCAATGGGAGCTCACCCCATCATGGGGATTCGAACCGCCGACCTTCTGATCAGCAAGTCAAGGGTTATGTACTTGTTCATAATTTTAAAAAAATACATCTGTAACACTCTTCCGCCAAAAAAATTTAAAAATTAAAAAGTGGCTTACAAATCACTACAGACGAACGAAGCAGACCCCCAGCACCAGGACTGCAATCTGAAAAGATATGACACAAAAGGAAAACATATGGAGTGGGAGGAGGAAATAAGCAAGCTCTGTCACAAGTCCTTTACCCCTCTTTTCCTGCATTATTTCACTGTGCATTTGCGGCGTTGAAAAGAAATTGCAAAGCAACACGTGAATATTTTTGTCCCATCATGCAAGCATACCCAAAATAACTTTGTAGAGTAACCTTACCGCTTGGTGGTACATCCCTGTCATTTATTATTATTATTATTATTTTGCTGCTTATGAGTGCCGCCTTAATTAAAGGGCTATGTACAGATCATATGCATTGCCTGGAGGGTGCTAATGTAGTGCCATCACGGTGCCTTCGAGAAGCTTCGAACTACTGTTGTCCCCAACTATTGGCGGCAGTGACAAGTAGCCGCTGATCGCTGTATCCTCCATGAATTTGCCTTTCAGCGCCATCCAGAGCGGATGGCCATCCTTTATGCCATATGGTAGCAGACACCATAGTTTATAATTCCGTGCTGCATGAAGAAGGACTTTCCTTTTCTCTGTCTTGAGTCTTCCAACATTCAGCCTCACTGGATGCCTAGGAGTTATGGGAGAGGGAGAATAAAAAAATTATCTCTAGCCACTTTCTCGACATCAAGGATTCTTTGGACTGCTGTCGCCCCTGACTCTTGGAGGTAACGATGGGTGGATGCAATGGGTGGTGGTAGTTATAAGATGGAAAGGTGCCTCCGAAGGAAAGCCCTCTGGTGGAAGGGCTCTGGCGATCGGAAATCATGGAAGCATTTTTCTATACGTAGAAGCCAAGCTTTGGTTGGGAAGGAGTGGCAGACAGGAGTCAGGAACATCTGGGGGCAGTGCCATTGCAGAGAGAACTTTGAGGGGTGAAAGGCAAGTTTCTTTTGTAACTCTGAAGGGTCAATGCTGTTCCTCCCCACCTCCCCACTTTCCAGGTTTTGCAAGTGGCATTTGAAGAAAAAAGAAGCGGATTGCTTACTTATTTCCTAAAATTTATACTTCTTTGATTGCAGCAGCAGCAGCAACAACAACAACAACCCTCAACATGGTTCACAAGAAGAATAAAACAGTCAAATTTTTTGGGGGGTGAGAATTGAATAGTTCAAAAAATTAAAACTAGCAATAGACTAAAACACAGCCAGATATCTGGACGCACCTGTCTAAATCAGAATGTTTTTAGCAGGTGCTGGAAAGAATACAGTGAAGGCACCTGCCTGAGGTCAAGAATCAGGGAGTTCCAAAGTGTATAGGTGCTGCCACACTAAAATATCAAGTTCTTAAAGATGCAGAATGTGTATTCTGCGGTGCCTGTTAGTTCAAGTTCCACCAATTGCATTGTTCCAACCTGGTGTCCTAAGACCTATCTAAATTTTTATTTATTTACTGCATTTATAACCCACCTTTTCCTCCAAGGAGCTCCAGGGTGGTGCACCTGGTTCTTGCCCTTTCCTCAATCCTCACGACAACCCTGTGAGGTAGGAGAGGCAGTAAATGGCCCAAGGTCACTCAGTGAGCATTTTGGCCAAGCGGGGATTTGAACCCTGGTCTCTCCCAGGTCCTAGCCTGACACTGTAACCACTGTACCACTCTGGTTCTCCAGTTTGCATATGGTAGAAAGGAAGAATCATATATTGATAAAATGCATATGGTGTTAAGCAAGTGGGCAAATATTGGCATAATTTCCTTTGAAGGTCTGGGGGCATGGAAGGGACTACCTAGAGTGGGTTTCCCCAGTGTGGTGCCTTCAGTATACTATTGGGACCTCAACCCCATCACCCTTGACATGTTGAGCATGAGAGGAGTCCAACAACATATGAAAGGCATCATGTGGGAGATAATTTTCGTAGAGCTTAGGCCTCATGGTCTTACCAACCTGGAGGACTTCCCGAACCCATCTCACTTCTGTCAGAGATTGTGCTGCAATTGGTGCAGAATGCTCCAGTGCAATTGCTAGTATCAATTGCTAACAGGAGTGAGACCCTGTCAGCATATAACACCTGTTTTCAGAGATCTGCACTGGTTGTCGATTTGCTACTGGGCCAACTTCAAGGTGTTACTTTTAATAGATTAAGTCCCTGACAACCTGGGATCAGTATAACTGCAAGATCGCAGAACTGGCACTGTTACAGGTGTCAAATGAGACCCATTTCACATTTGTAATAACTCCATATTTTAGTGTGGCGGCAGTTATACTCTGGAACTCCCTGCCTCTTGACTCCACCAGCCAGGCAACCTTTGTTGTATTCAGGGCCTGCTAAAAACATTTTCTTTCAGGCATGCCTACCTAGATAATTGGAAAATTGATGCCAGTTTTAATCTGTTTTTAGTTTATTGTTGTTTTAATTCTTCAAAAGTCTTAAAATGCCATAATTGTTGACCGTTTTATCGTTTTGTAAACCGCTTTGAGGGATTTTTGATTTATTTATTTTTAGTGCATAAACTTTATGACATGAATAAATAATAAAGAAACAAACAAATGCCTTTCTTGCTGGACTCCACCCACTGATCCATTTTCCTCCATATTTTTCCTTCTTTTCTTCCTTTGTTGGCTCCCCCCTCCCCCCGGCAGCTGTCCAAGAGGAGAGGCAGCGTGGGAAGGACCGCAATGAGAATGAGGTTGAATCCACGAGCAGCGCTAATGAGGACATGCCTGTGGAGAAGATTCTAGAAGCCGAACTTGCCGTTGAGCCAAAGACAGAGACATACATTGAGGCGAACATGGGCTTGAACCCCAATTCGGTAAGGAAAAGCACACCCCCTATTACTCTTTTCTTCTAGGCAAACTTTTCAAAAATGCAGTTAAGTCACCTTAAATCTGGTGTGGGGAATCTTTGGCCCTCCAGATGTTCATAGAATTGTAGAGTTGGCAGGGACCCAAAGGGTCATGTATTCCAACCCTTCTGCAATGGACCAATCACTGTTGATCTACAGCTCCCATCAGGCCCCAGCAAGCATGGCTGATGGCTAGGGATGATGGGAGTTGTGCTTCTGGAATATCTGGAGGGCCACAAATGCTCCAACAGATACCAAGACTAGAAGATGGCTCTGTTGGGCATGATAGTTATATACAAAGCCAGACTAAGAACATAAGCAGAGACTGCTGGATCAGGCAAAAGGGGGCCCATTTAGTCCGTCCAGCCAGATTCCTGTGGGAAACCAGCAAGCAGGATTTGAGTGCAAGAACAGCTCTTCCCCCTCCTATAGTTTCTAGCAACTGGTATTCAGAAACATTGCTTCCGTGGAGGCGCAGAGCACAGCCAACATGGCCAGAAGCCATTGAGAGCCCTACCAGCCTCCAGGGTCACCAGACACCTCAAACATCCCATTTGCAGCCCTTGTGAACCTCAATGGGTTGGGGTTCCTAATCCCCTGGAAAGTCTCTGAATGAAAAGCTCATGTTTCCTTGAAAGGAGATGAGGAAAGCCGGTCTTTGGTTACCCCCAGCACCTGGGAGGCAGCAGTTATCAAGATTAAAGATACTTAGGGGAGGAGATGTAATGAGCATCACTGCAAGCTTGTGGAGAGGGGTCTGGGGAGGCAAAATAAATAGCTGCTTCTGGTCCCAGCCTGCTTTTAGCAAATTGAATATGGCTTCCTGCATAATTCAGCATGTGTGGTCACAGTCTACGAAGATGCAGGCAGCATCTGTAAGTGGGGGGTAGGTACCTAGGAGCGCCTCCTGTTGCAGATCAGTGCTTGTGCGCGAGGAAGATCAAATGCCTGGGTGGGGGAGAAATATCTCTTCCTTCCACCACCACCAGGATTACCACAACCTGGAGGGGGGGGAATAGGGAGGGTTTTGAGGAGCAAAGAACGGAACACATGAATACAGTTATATGACATATGTTACCTAACAACCCCCACCAGCTCCCTAAACAGGTATCAGGTTGTCCATTGATATGAATGATTCTTCCAGCTTATGCTGGTGTTTTTTGAACGGCCGCTGACAAATACTTAATTATCACTTTGCTTTTATTGCTGATGTTTTTATTCTATTTATTGCACTTATATCCCAACTTTCCCCACGAGGAGCTCAAGGTGAGATGTACACAGTTCTCCCCATTTAATCCCCACAACAGCCCTGTGAGGTGGGCTAGGCTGAGAGGCAGCAGCTGCCCCCCGAGGTCACACGCAGTGAGCTTCGCAGCCAAAGGGGGGTTTGAACTTCACCAAGCTATCAAATGTCCAGCATTTAATGTCCCCAGGGGCAGTACAAAACAAACTGTTTTGTACTGTTTGTTTTTAATCCATCACAGATGGTCATTTCCAGGAAAGAAATAGATATAGTCCAAGCCGCAATGTTTAGGACAGCCATTTCCATTTTGCATTGGAAAGTTTAAGAGGGAGAAAACTGATTTATTTATTTTTTATGTAAGGTGGAAAAGTGGGCATATGGAGTGTCCTTGAAATTATTGAAGGTCTTTGCCCACCTTCGCATCTGAGCACAGTGCAGGTCATACAAACCTCTCCATTCAGTTTGTGCCGCCTGTTGCTTGTGGGCCTCCCTGGACACCCTGCCCCCATCCTCACCAGGAGATCCCGAGCCTTGGATTCCTTCGGTTTATACATAGCCCCAGATGGGATCCTGGCTACTGAAAGATGATCCTTGTAACAGAAACCACCACCCCCCTTTGGCAGGCATTTGCAAAGGAGGGTTTTGGGTCACTGCATTCCTTCTGGGTGTGGCCCCAGAGTTCCTTTTCCAGAGGGATCATTTGCCAGGGATGTCCTTTCACCTTGTCTGCATCATTCCCACTTCATGGAAGGGGGTGGGGAGGAGAAAGGCTGTAGCCAAGTGGCAGAGCACTTGCTTGGCATGCAGAAGGCCCCTATTTCAATCCTCTGGCATCTCCAGGTAGGGCTGGAAAGAAAAACCCTGTACTTTAAACCCTGGAGAGCTTCTGCCAGTTGACAATACTGAGCTAGACGGTTTGGGGTTTCAGGCAGGCCCAGCCCTGATTGAACATGCCAGGGACTGAACCTAGGAACATAAGAAGCTTCCTTGTACCAAATCAGAAAATGGTCCACCTAGCAGAGTGTTGTCAACACTGACTGGCAGCAGCTGTCTAGGATATCAGCCAAGGGAGCTCTTGAGGGTTTCTGATGGGGAAACATCCCTTGCCCTAATCAGAGATACCAGCAGGTATCAAGCTTGACACCTTTTGCACGCAAGGCAGATGCTCTAACCACTGAGCTGCAGCCCTTACCACAGTCTGCCCTTCTTTTCCATTCCTTTGTCCCACTCTTGACGCCTCACAGCTTCTCTGTTCTTTGCAGCCCAATGACCCGGTCACCAACATCTGCCAAGCGGCAGACAAGCAACTTTTTACATTGGTGGAATGGGCCAAAAGGATCCCACACTTCTCAGAACTGCCGCTAGATGACCAAGTGATCTTGCTCAGGGCTGGTGAGTACAAGGCACCCTTTAATGGGGAGGGGGTGGTGCAGAAGGAGCAGGGCAACCCATTGCTTTAAATAAATGGTTCTGAAAGTGGGCGATAGAGCCCCCTCATGGGATGCTAAGAGGCAAGTAGGTGGCGGGGGTGGGGGGTGTTGTGATGATTTAAGACCCCCGCTAATTGACTTTCAACCATGTGGAAGAATCAAAGCCTGTTTCAGATTATGTAAAGAAATACTACAGGTGTTATGAATTCGTGAGCAGGATTTGAATTATGAGCAATAGAAGGAATTAGAGATTATTGTATTGTTGGTATAAGAGAGAGAATATAGGGTGCAGCAAGGGGGAGAAATTTTAAAAAGCACCATGGAAAACGGGGTGGGAATTCAACAAAAGAAAAGAAAAAAATATTATGCATCAGAGTGCATGTGTGATTTTTTTTTGGAAATTTAATAAAATGTAACTGTTTTAAAAATGACTTTCAACCAGATATTGGGGAGGTGGTATCTAATTATCAGTATCAGGCGCACCTTTCACATTAAGACTTTACCACCAATGGTGAAGGAGTTACTAAATGTTGCATCTAAGACTTTTGCTAAATGACTGTCAGACTCTGAAAAGCTGGTACCATTGGATCATGTCCGTCAGTTTTGTTGAATTCATTCAGCTAAATAGTTTTAATTGGATTTTGAACAAATTTGCAACTGGTTAATATGGTTTTGAATTTTGTTGTGTTATAATCCTGCAAACCACTCTTCTGAATAATGCTTTTTGCAGGGTAAAGTTTTTGCAGGGAAATGAGTTTCTGGATCCAAGGTACCAGTGGCCTGAAAAAGTTTGGGAACCACTGCTCTAAAGCCACCAGTGTTGTGTCTTGCAGGTCATTTGTAAGATTCATGGTGCATTTTCTGCCTCTGTTTTCTAAGAAAATTCCATCCTGCCTGCAGCTCAAGGTGGCAAATGCATCAACATGTTTGCTTCCTTATTGCCCCATCCTTCAGCGAAAGGTGCCAGGGTGGATTACAGCATTTAAAACAATATTAAAAAAAACGAACAGAAAAAATTATTTATAAAAGTTAAAGACAGGCTCCAGCAGTTTGAGCGGATGAGACTAATAGTGGTTCCAACAGTCAACCAACAAACAACCAAGGTGGTTTCTACATGTGCTCTAGAGGGAAGTGAGTGGCAGATGGGGCTTCCCAACCTGGGAAGGGAGCCCATCTTGGAGAGGGTAAACTCTGATCCTAAACCTCCACTGCTTGGTGGGGCGTTTTTGGGAAATGTAAACCATACACGTCTGGGGAGTCCCTAAAGCGGTTGTATTGCACCTTTGGGCATCTCCTGCAGCCACGTTGGTGCCAACTGTATTGCTCTGCTTTCCTTTGAACCACATCAGTGAGACTGAGAGTGGGGCCATGTCATGTGGGCAGCCCAGGACCTCCATACACACTGCCCAGGCTTGTGCCCTGGAGAGGCCACTTCAGTGCTGCTAATGCAGCAGTTTGACTTCACCGCTGGAGGCATACTCCATTGTCTCTTGACCCAACCCTACCATGCTGCCATCTCATAAAATATCGGCAGTATGTATGCAATGAAACACTATTTAAAAACATTACTAATAAAATATTATTAGGACTGGCTAATCAGGCTCCTGGCCAAGAATCCTGGGAAATGCAGTTTGTGAAGGTTGCTGAGAGTTCTTCCCAGAGCTACAGTTCCCAGAGTTCCCTGCAAAGAGGGATGGGTTGTTAAACTGCTCTAGGAATTGTAGCTCCAGGAGGAAGAACAGGGGGATTCATAAGAACTCTCTGTACCCTGAGCAAACTGCATCTCCCAGAATTATTTCGGGGGGAAACCATGACTGTTTGAAGCAGTATCATAATACTTTAAAAGATATCAATATTTAAAATGCATTTAAAAGAATCAGTTGTAGAGGGCCACCTAGTCTAACCCCCTGCATTGCAGGATTTACAGCTAAAGAATTTCTGAGAGATTGCCAGCATGTGCTTTGAAAGCATCCCAAGTTATCCTTGGAGCACCATTCCATCTGTTTGGGTCTTCTCTCAGTAAGGCTAACGTTGCATACGATCCCATATTGTGTAACATGCATCTCTATACAGTGGACACTCAGGTTGCAAACATGATCTGTGCAGGATGCACATTTGCAACCCGCAGCGTCCGAAACCCACAGCGGCGCATCTGCGCATGCACAGGTTGCGATTCAGTGCTTCTGCACATGCGCAAAGCGCAATTTAGCACTTCTGCGCATGCACAATCACCAAAACCTGGAAATAACCCGTTCTGGTACTACCAGGTTTCGGCGGTCCATAACCTGAAAAAACATAACCCGAGGTATGACTGTATACACAGAGCAGCAGGACAAACACAGTTCAGGGAGTTCGGTCTATTTAGCATGGGGAAGAGGAGAATGAGAGGAGATATGATAGCCGTCTTCAAATATCTAAAGGGCTGTCACATGGAAGACGGAGCAAGCTTGTTTTCAGCTTCTCCAAAGGGCAGAACTCGAACCAATGGATTCAAATTGCAAGAAAGGAGATTCCGACTAAACACCAGGAAGAACTTTCTGACAGTAAGAGCTGTTAGACTCTGGAACGGACTCCCTCGGAAGGCGGTGGGCTCTCTTTCATTGGTGGTTTTTAAGCAGAGTCTGGGTGGTCATCTGCCCTGAATGCTTTAGTTGAAATTCTTGCATTGCAGGGAAATGGACTACATGGCCCTTGGGATCATTCCCAACCCTATGAGTCTGATTTTTTTTTTGGTCCAGAATCCCTTGCAACACAGAGACCCCCTAACCTTTAGTGGCCACCCAGCTTGTCGAGAAGGGAAGCATTTCATTACGGACTTGCTTGATCACCAGAGTGGGAGTGGGGGTGGTGTACCACTGGAGGCAAAATGCTGACTTGGCAAGCTGGCGTGAGCTCGTCAGTTGCACCCAAGTGGAACCTGCCAGTGTCTTTATCAGGAAAGGCCTCAGCTGACCCCCTCAAAGTCTTTCAAACAAATGGCTTTATGTATTATTGAGTGGCCTGCGGAGAGCACCTGCCCATGAAATATTGAAGTGTTAAAACCTAGCTAAAAGAGGTGGCTGGTGTCACGTGTGCCTCTAGCACGAACGGAATTCAGTATGGCTCAGTATGGCTTCAGGGGGCACCCCCTGTGATAGCTGCATGGAGGGCAAAGCCCTGATCTAGGCCACATTCACGCCATACGTTTGAAGCACTAAGATACAGGTAATTTGCAACTTACGCTCATTTAACTTGTGTGCATTCGGCTTTACTCACCTGGCAAAAAAGTAAAAAGTATTAATAATAGAAAGGGGGCACCCGATGTGTTTTGATTATACAGTGGAACCTCGGGTTGCAGACGTAATCCGTGACGGAGGCACGTCCACAACCCACAGCGTTCGCATCCTGAAGCACCGCATCTGCGCAGGTGCGATCTGGCGCTTCTGCACACGTGCGAAGCATGATTTATCTCTAATGCGCATGCACGAGCGGTGAAACCCAGAAGTAACCTGTTCCAGTACTTCTGGGTTTCCCACGGTCTGCAACCTGAAAACACGTAACCTGAAGCGTCCGTAACATGAGGTATGACTGTATGTGATTTTGGCGTTACATGCCTGTGCCACTTCCAACAGGTGGATAGGGCTCTGTTAATAACTCTCTGTGCTCTTAAGAAACTGCAGCTTCCAGAAATTTTGGGGGGAAGCCATTTAAAGTAGTATCAAAGTTCTTTAAATGTATGGTGTTGATGTGGCCTTAAAAGCACAATGGGACAATAACTAGTGAGGTTTTGAGAGATGTTTATTCTTCCTGGTCAACATCTATTTGTTTTCCAGAAATCAGTAGGATAGCATTAACTCATCCATAAGAATCAAGAGGAGTTTTGCTAAAATTTTAATTGTTTTAAATTCTCCTGTAAAACCATCCCATCCTGGAGCCATATTGCAGGTGTTGGGAATCTTTTACCCTCCAGATATCTCAATGCCCATCATCATCCCTGGTCACGCTTGCTAGGCCTAATGGGATTTGTAGTTCAGCAAAAGTTCCACACACCTGTCGTAATGGGTTGCATTTAATGTTAGTCATAGTCAGAGCAGATCCACTGAAATTAATGGACAAGGCTACCTTGGGTCCATGGATTTCAGCGGTCTGCTCTGATTAGTTCTAACGCTTGGATACAGCCTCATAGTTTTTAAGTTGTCTGGTGGACTCTCCTTCTTTGGAGGTTTTTAAGCAGAGGTTGGATGGACACCTGTTAGGGATTCTTTATTTGGGATTCCTGCACTACAGCAGGTTGGACCTTTGGGGATCCCTTCCAACTCTGCAATTCTGTTATTCTAAGCATCACCACTTTACTCAGATTTTTTTCTCTAAAAAGGGGCCGAAAGGTTTTTAGACAAAGTTTTATCTTGTGATCTGTTCTAGTAGACTTCACAGCCCCCTCTCCATTTATTTCACTGCAGGTTGGAATGAGTTGCTCATTGCCTCCTTCTCACACCGGTCCATAGCTGTGAAAGATGGGATCCTCCTTGCCACAGGTCTCCACGTCCATCGGAACAGTGCTCACAGTGCAGGCGTTGGTGCCATCTTTGACAGGTGAGAGAAACTCTTTGGAGATCAGGAAGGGTGAGGATTCGGGGCCATGGGGGGTGGGGAAGGTGAATAAGGGATTGCAGCTTCAGTTTTGATTACTTCACTCTTCGTTTCTCTGCCCACCCCCAAATTGAACCAATTGCTCTTCAAACCAAAACCAAGCTAGGGTTGCTGGCTTGTATCCAGATTAGTGTTAAGTCCTGTGTTCTGTTAGAGCAAGGATTTCTGCTAGTGCAATAGAAATTCTAAGTCTGTTCTGGGGTTCTCCCAACCTCCCAGAGCAGAACTGCATGCAGGGAGAGGGAATTGGGTGGGGGGGGTGTGCATGCAGGGAGAGGAGTGGGAGGGAAAGTTCTGTTGTGCAAGTGCCAATCTTAAGTGAACAAGGTTGTTGGATGCTGTGCTGTGTTTAAGACGAATATTATTTTAAGAGAAATTGTATGCCACTTCCTCAACAGGAAGCCTCTAAGCGGTTTGCAAAAGGACAGAATTTGAAGGATTTGTAAACAACCACCATTTGAAAATATTATACAAAGAAAGGAAACATTGGGTCCATCTTTAAAACTAGCATGAACAATAGCCAACAATGTAACCCTGAAGATGCCTGGCTGACTGGGGAAAGTAAACTCTCAAGGAGGCACCTGAAAGAAAATATTGTTGGCCCCATCCTAATTTCCAAGGGAACATTTTCCAAAGTGACGCCACACTGAAAGCTCTGCCTTGAGTGTGCACTGAATTCGGGGTGTGTGGCACCCGCAAGAGGGTCTCCTGCTTGATGACCTAACTGTTTGAGCAGGATGATCTGAGCAAACAGCAGGCTTGAAAATACAAGCGTTTCAAGTCATGCCATTGACCATTGAAGGAGACTAGTCAAAGGAAGTCTGAGCTAGACTTGGCTTAAAATGCCAAAATTTTCAAGGGGGTTGCTGAAAGCAAATAGATGAACACATGCTCAGAAGTCTTTAAAGTGACTGTATCATTATTATTATTTATTATTTGCAGAGTATTGACAGAACTCGTATCAAAAATGAGAGATATGCAGATGGATAAAACAGAACTGGGGTGTCTCCGAGCCATTGTCCTCTTCAACCCTGGTAGGTTCGGTTGTCCTTGCAGGATAGGGTACCCATTTTCAATTGAGGTTTCCACTCTGAGTTAGAAGGAGGCTTCGTTTTCATGGGCCACAGGCCGCCCGACTTATCTCAGGGTTGAGGGGTGGGGGAACCCAGAGCAGGGCCTCTGAAGCCAGATCTAAGTGTACAGACTAGCTCCTAGGAGAGAGCAAGAAGGAATACCCAGCGACCAGGTGCCACAAACCATTGGGGATGCTGAACCCCAAGGAGGGGTGATGGCCCAAGCAAGGAGAGTCAGTGCGGTGTAGTGGTTAGAGTATTGGACTAGATCCTGGGAGACCAGGGTTTGAATCCCCACTCAGCCATGAAGCTTCCTGGGTGACCTTGGGCCAGTCATGCACTCTCAGCCTACCCTAAATCATAGGGTTGTTGTGTGGAGGAGGAGAACTATGTATGCCACCTTGGGCTTCTTAGAGGAAAGATGAGATATAAATGTAATAACATTACAAAAAAATTAAAAAGGAGTAGCTAGCTATTCCTGGTTCCGCAGGCAGAGGCCACGGTCATGGTCATCACCTCGGAAGGAGATGAAAGAGTGAGTTCAGGGCTACGGATTGTGTTCTTGGAGCTGGGCCAAATATCCAGGTGGCCATAGCAAGGTTCCAGAGCAAGCAGCTGAGTTTTACAGCAGGGTAAGGTGGTTGTTGATTGGCAGGGGGAATCCACCTGCTGAGTGCTGCCCTGACCAGCGAAATCCTTTGCAATCATGGGGGTTCCAGCTGTGCAGATCTCTCCTCTGGGCTCTCCTGAGCCCCCAAGGAATCTGTGGACCAGCCATGAGAGTTCTGGTATCAGAAGTCTCCCCTCAGGGCTCCAGGGACAGGTAGGCTGCTCTGGAGGGGAACCAAATCTGAGTTTAAGAATGCTGATATGGTTCCTCTCTTGAATGCAGTCTGAACACACTGCTTGCTCACTCCTCAGCAAAGGCACTTGAATAAAGGAGAGACAAGATATATTGGTAACACTTTATTGAGGGGGAAACCAGGGTTTTTTTCCAGCACCTCTCAGGTGGGCACCATTGCCATTATAAGAGAACAAAGGAGGCGTTCATGGTGAGTTCCGTCACCTCTTTTTCTGGAAAAACAGCTCTGTGGAAAACTAACAAAAAGTACTGTATCATTTCAGGAGAAAGGAACAGAGAGGTTTTGTCTTTCTTAGTTCAGTCCTTGTACCTGACAAGGAGACGTTCAACCAAACATACAGAGGAAAAACTCCCTCAGAACTATGCAGCCAATCAGGGTACACTGTGCCCAGCCTGGTTGCTAAGCAACACCACCTCACATCCCCATTAGCTATGATAATTATAATTATAATTTTTACAATTTGAATACTGCCCGTCATCTAAAGACCACAGGGCGGTTCACAACATAGCTGATTTTAACATGAGCAAAGTTAACGCTTCAGTTGCAAACTGAATGATCCCTGCTGTTGCACTTCCACCAGTGCTGAGCAGGCAAAGTCAAGAAATGTGACTTGCCGAGAGAAAAACATTGGTGTTATGCCCATCTTTGGAATGTCACCAACATGTTGCTCCTCAGGCCCTCTTAAGCCTCCAGTGGCACAATAGGTCCGTATGATGGGCTGTTAACCAGAAGGTTGGTGGTTCAAGCCCACCCAGGGGTGGCTGTGAGCAGGATTCCTGCAGGGGGTTGGATTAGATGATCCTTGGAGGTCCCTCCTGACTCCATGATTCTTTGATTCCTGTGAGGGATTTAGGCTCAGTAGGGCACTTCCTTTCAAGACCAGAACACTCACTGGGTTAATCAGACTCCCAAACCTGTATGTATTCATAGTAATTGGATTTGCAAAGTTATGAAATCCGCTGAGTGGAGCGGTGCTGCAGGGAATATGCTTTAGGAATAACTTAATCCTCTCAAGCCTGTTTCTGCTTTCCTCCTCCCACTCCCCCTACACAACCTCGAGTTTCAGATTACGACTCTATCCCTGAAATGGATGGTATATCTACTTTCCAAAACCTGTTAAGAACCGAGTTGGTCTTCAGAGCTGAATTCACCTGCTGATTACAAAAAGAAAGTGTCTCCCTTAAAACATGTCCTCAGGAAAGCCTTTCCCCAGCTTGAAAATATCCCCTCACTTCTTAAGATGTGCATGCCTCCAGTCCTCAAGATACGCCTTTCCTCAGCTTTAAAATGTGTGTTCTTCTAGTCCTCTGCCTTTGCCCAGATTTCAAGGCCTTTCATCTGTCCCACTACAGACTCAAAAGGGCTTTCCAATCCTGCTGAAGTCGAGGCCCTGCGTGAGAAAGTGTATGCGTCACTTGAGGCCTACTGTAAACAGAAATACCCTGACCAGCCCGGGAGGTGAGTCTTTGAATCTGTGCCTGTCTGAAATCCTGAAGAGCAGTTGTCACTCAGTGTGGATAATAGATGGACCAGTGATATGATTCTGTATAAGGCAGATCCGTAGGTTCCTATTTAATTCAGTCTGTTCTTCACAATCATGAGGGCTAGCACCTTAGTTTATGTTCAAGGGAAGGGTGATAGCTCAATGAGAAGAAAACATGCTTTGCATTTGGATAGTTTCAGGTTCAGTCATTTCCAGGTAGGGTTGCGAATGACTCCCTGCCTGAAACCCTGGAGATCCACTGCTGCCAGTCAGTGTGGACAATATTGAGCTAGATGGGTCAGCATAAGACACATTCCTCTGGCACAGCAGTAGACATGTGGTCCTAGGCAGCTTTTCTCTTCCAAACTGAAATCCGCCTCCCATCCCTGGGCTTCCTTTATCCCTGCTGTCCTCCGAGTCAGCTCTTTCATGGTTAAAATGCTCATTGAACATCCATCATCTGGTTTAGTTTAAAAGCGAAACTTTCTAGGTTTTCCTCTGGGGGAGGAAGAGAGTGGCAGGGTTTGATTTGTATTTTCCTGGCTTCCACCTCGGAGGCCTACTTTGCCAACTCAGCATTTGGAGGGGAGGGGGCGGGCGGAATGCAAGCACAAATTCAGGCCTCCCCTCCACTGTTTTCTCTCCCCCCCCCCATTAGTGACTTTGGTTCTGACACACATTGGAAGCCCCAGATTTTGCAAGCGGGGGCTACCAATGGAAAAGAAGTGGGGGGGGCTCCCATAAATATTTGTTATGTGGAGCTGGTGGTCACAGGTTCAATCCCTTAAGTCAGAATGACATCCCCTCCAACATTTCTCCGATGAAAATAGGGAAGTCCTATTCCATAAAAATAATAATATTATTTTTTATACTCCACCCATCTGACTGGATTGCCCCAGCCACTTTGGGTAGCTTCCAACACATATAGAAGCATAATAAAACATTAAGCATTAAAATAAACTTCCAGGTGTCTTCTAAAGGTTGCATAGTTACTTACCTCCTTGACATGCGGGCCGCATAACCCCATGCCCTCCAACATTTCTCCAATGAAAATAGGAGAGCCCTAAGGAAAAAGGGGACATTCTGGAATCAAACCGGGATGTCTTCTGTAAATCCAGGACTGTCCCTGGGAAACAGGGGCACTTGGAGGGTCTGGAACCATAAGAACTAGAATTTTACTTTATTTTCAGGGGAAGTGGCTGTAGCTCAGGGGTAGAGAATCTGCTTCGCATGCAGAAGATCCCAGCTGGGAAGACCCTGGGCCAGAAGCCCTTGAGAGCCACTGCCAGGCAGTGTCAACATTCACATGGCTGTGTTGCTGTGATTGCCTCTTCCCATGCCCTTAATTGCCATCTGTCTTTCTATAACGTTTCTAGGTTCGCCAAGCTTTTGCTCCGCCTCCCTGCCCTCCGGTCCATTGGCCTCAAATGCCTGGAGCACCTCTTCTTCTTCAAGCTAATAGGGGACACTCCCATCGACACCTTCCTGATGGAGATGCTGGAGGCTCCCCACCAAATGACTTAAGAAGGCAGACGGGGTTGGTCCCATTTCTTCTCCTGCCCGGCGGGCTCGCCGATGCCACCACCACCACACCTCCCCTTCTACTGCCAACGTGTGCCCCCATTTCTCCCTGGCATGTGCGAGAGGCAGCCTACCATCTTCCTCCTGTGACACCGTTGACTCAGCCCTTCAGCCGTTTCTCACGCTCTCTCTGTGCATCTCGGGGATCTGAGAATAGCCATTTGCTGTCCCTCTCACATGTGCAGAGGGGAAAATGGCTGTTGTTGTTTATTTTGAATGTGCGAAAATGCACCCCGCCCCCACCGCTGTTCACTTTCCTCCTCCTCCACCACCACTGTTTCCACAGGCCTAGGTGGATTTCATAGCAAGCTGTAAATCTGAGCCCACCCCCTGCCTCGCACAAACTTATCTGCCTCACGTGTGTGGTTTTGGTTGTCAGCTCCCCCAACACACAAACACACACACTTGTTGCCGTGTGTGTGAATTTAATTTGCTTTGTTGCAGACGGACATTTTGGAGAATGGAAGCCTTTGCAGGGGTTGGGGTCCCTTCCAACCCCACGAATCCTATTATTTGTTGTTTTACCTGCCTCCAAGCTGCAACGAAAAAAAGCAAAAAATTGCTCTCTTAGCATCTCAAAAGGGAAATGGGGTCCAGGTTTTCTAGCACTGGGCTGGGTGGGCTTTGCACCAGTGACTCAGGTGGGAAGACATGTTCTAAGAATTAAGGAACAGGGTGCCCACCTTGTGCATGTGCTCAGCCCAGCGGTTTGTAAGCAGCACCAGAACCAAGGTCACAAGTACTTTCACATAAAACCCCACTTCTCATCACCACACCTTTCCGGTGTCCTAATTCAGAAGGGGTGATACTTTCAGTTCTTAAGACCTCCAGGTGTCAAAAACTCTTGTCAGTTTGCTGCAAATTTGGTGGATTTTTTTTTTAAGAGAGCAAGTTTCTAGTCCTTACAGTTTCAAATCCAATTGCCTGTCTGCGGATCCTGAGCTACCTTTTGCCCGACCTTGTTCTGAAGCCATCTGTAAATTGTGTGGGAAGGGTTATGGATTTGGGCTGTACAGCACAGGTCACTCTTGTTCTGCGCATGGCGTGTGTGTGTGTGTGTGGCCATTTTCTTTGCTTTTCGTCCAAAGATGACTTTCTCTTGGTAACTGAGTGAGCCGCTCAAACTGCAAAACCAGCCGAAATGCACAAAGGCTGCTTTAAAGCTGTGGCAGTCAATGCTGCAAGTCCTCTAAGCACTTTCCCCTTGTCTGTTTTCAGTGGGATTCCCCCACCCAACTCCCTTAAAAAACAACACACACCTCTGTTAATATCAGCACTCTCTGTTGCCGCTTTTTAAAACTGGCCTTGATAACCCAGCAGTGTTCAAGAGCATCAAGCAATCCCTGGCAGGCAGTCAGGCAGACACTGAAACCTAGGTGGGCAGTTTTAATAACAACACCAAGTCCTTAGGGTTTCAAACACCTGCTTGGAATTGTGTCTCAGGGAACGGGATGCTGGACTAGATTTCCAGCAATTTTGTAGGGGGAAGTGGCAATTACTAGCAAGTTTGGTCCAGGCCAAGAGTGAAGTGTGTAGATGGCTCAGACCCAGGAGGTTCCCTGAGATGCTTATTTGCATATATATACGCCTTGCATGTTCTATAAATATTCTGCAACACTCAGCAGGCCCTGTTGCCAGTTTAAGCTGGCCCTTAAATAGATGCCTTCTGATATGACTGCATCCTGATTATTCTTTTCCTCTTCCTCACCAAATCCTTTCTCGTTCTCTTTCCCTGTTTTCCTTTACGCCCTTGGCACCCATTTTCCCACCCATCCTTCCATGCTCCCAAGAGTCTGCCCTAGGATTTCAGGAGACATATTTGCAAAACCACCACTCCCCCCCCCGCCAAAAAATGTGGCTGATTGCAGCAGGCAAGATGGGAGGGGAGAGGATCCTTGGAAATGCCACCTCAACCAATTTCCCCTCTGGAAACCCTTTGCCAACAAAACACTCATTCCAGAGGGTATCAAATAGAAAAGAAATGTGTTCCTTGGAACACAGAATCATTCAGTTCCCTTGAGGTCTTGGTAGCTGACTGCCTTCCTTTCCTGCTCTGTCTTGAGAGTTCAGTCATTGAGCCAGAGCAACATCCTTTATCACCTGCCCTCTGATTTGCTTTGCGGCAGCTGAATTTCAGGGTCTGAAGAATCCAATGTCCAAACTCTTTGAGAGCAAAATAAGAAAAAGAGGGACACTTTATTTGGAGTTCTAAGCCTCCAACATACATTTGAGAGTTTTATTTTGGCTCAGGGTATTTGTGAGAATCGTTCCACTGCATCCGGTTTGGTCTTTGCTATTCACTGGAGTGTATTAGGGTCTGCCTTCCCTGATCCAGCTCTGTTTGTGAGTACCAATGATGAATATTGTGCCAGAATGATGTGGCTTTGTGCATACCCTTCCAGTTTTAAAAGCACTGGGAGCCATAGGGCAGTTTCTGATTCTTCAAGCAATCTGCACCAGAAGGCCACTTGCATCTTACAGTTTGGGGCCACCACCTGCATTTTCAATCATGGCAGAGGTCATGCCCAAAGCCCTGCAGAGGTTGACCTCTGCAGCCTTGAATCAATGGACTTTAGTGTGCTTGTTCACACATTACCTGCATTCAGCATACAAGCTGTATGAGTGTCCCCGTGTGAAAGAGTGCGTAGTTTGTTGGTCTGTTCAGCTCAACTGCTGCATAAACATACTGTACACTCACTGAACTCTGCGTGTGAATAATGTTACCAGTATATTGCTCTATGCAGAGCCATATCCAACCAGTGAGTTCTATCAGCACCAGGGTTTGTTGCTCAGGCAACAAGACTTCACCCCCACTCTCCCCAGATGCGCTTCAGGAGGTAGGGGGGACCCCCTAAAACAGATTTAGTGGCACAAAGGGGGGAGGAGAGTGGGAAAAGCCCCATTACACGGGTGAAAATTCTTGCACCAATGGGACAGGTTACTCAGCGCAACTTTGGAAACAGCCCAGAGATTGTGCACTTGTAGAACATTATGTGCAGACATCCCTGATGACTCCTTTGTTTGCATTCGCCTTCACTGTTTGGGGCTTTTATGAGGTTCTCCTAGCATAATAACGGGACCCTACAGGTGGCCCACCTTTCTCACCTGTGTCATTTCGTATTAGCTGGGGATTTTGCCACATGTCAGAGTCATCTGTAAGGAGTCAGAAATCATTGCCAGTGAGGTAATGCTTGGTTTCTAAAGGAAAATGTTATAATGAAAGACCATAATAAAGAGCCTTTGGAGACATTAATCAGATGGCATCCACTGATGCCCAGGTCAACACTGTACTTTTCACTCCCAGCTGAATGGGGAGGGGTGAGGTTCACTTATCCAGAAGCATCCATCTTTAAAGTAGACCGTGCCTTCCTTGAAGTGATGGGCTACTGGTTTGAAGTGGATGGTTCCAAGCAACAGAGGGAACGGTTTCATTAAGCATCACTGTGTCCCATGGACTTCTGGAGTATCGGACTTGCAGGAGACAGCCAGGGGTTGTCTTCTCTAGCTAAGTTCTACCCAGCACGGGCCCATTATTTTCAGTGGGTCAGCCTTGAGTTGGCCTGTGATTGCATACAGCCCTGCCCTCCTAGAGCAGTGGTTCCTAAACTTGGGGGGTATCTGCCCCCTGGGTTCCATTAACTCATCCCCAGTGAGTAAAGCATTATTCAGAATAGCGGTTTGCACAACTCACTAAGTAAGGTAATAAAAGACTAAAATTCAAAACAATAGCAATTAGTTGCAGATTTATTAAATATATATGCAAAAGTGAATATATGCTCTGATCTAATTTGGCATCTCAATTACACACACACAGCAAAGAATATTGCATGAGAAATATTTTCTACACATTCTTACTAATGAAAACTTTAAGGGTGAAGGAGATTTATACCATAAAATATTTATATATAAGGACTTACCAAACATGCGCAAACCTTCACCTGCTACAGGTAACTGATTTATAAGAAAAGAAATAGCTATTGCCAATAACTGTGACAACTCAGAATCATAAATACAAACAAAACACGACCAAAGGAAATAGCTTTGAAAGCTATAAGAGCAGAAAGTTTTAAATGCGAAGTGAAGAAGGGGTTTCATGCCCTTGGCTCTTGGCATCCTAGGGAATCTCACAGCAAACGTGGGTGGGGGCAGTACCACCCACGTTTGGAACTGCTGATCCAGAGCATGTGAAAAAAAAGCAAAGCCTTCTACACATTTCTTCTGATAAAAAGCTCCATGCTGTGAAAGGTAGTGGATCTCCCCTTCATTGGAGATTTTTAAACGAGGTTGGATGGCCACCTGTCTGGGGTTATTTAAGATGGGGTTCCTGCATAATAGGGGGTTGAAGCAGTTGACTCTTGGGCAGGCTTCCTCAACCTTGGCCCGCCAGATGTTTTTGGCCTGCAACTCCCACAATCCCTAGCTAGCAGGACCAGTAGTCAGGGATGCTGGAAATTGTAGTCTCAAAACATCTGTAGGGCCGAGGTTGAGGAAACCTGCTTTGCAAATTCTGTGTGACCTGTTACGGGATAAAGGCCCTTTCCTCATTCCATCTGCTGGGATCCTTCACTTTGCAGTTCCGGGGGGAGCCCAAAGTTGCCCTGCACTTATTCTGGTATAGCCACAAACAGAGGGTCTAATATTTCCCTCTGGCTGTGTTCGGTCAGGGCACCTGAGGACACCCCATTTCCCCAGGACAGGTGGACAGGCTGGTGACGTCCCCACGTCTAGAACAAGATTGCATGAATCCTTTTTTTTTTTAAGTTGATACATGTGTGTGTTTATGCACGTGTGTTGTGTAGATATATACACTGTATAAATACCCCCCCATTCAAATATACATATGTTATACCCACTTCTTAGTGTTACCAATGTGTCCTCAGATCTCTCTCTTTTTTTTAAATGAAACTTTCTTGTATTTTCTTCAAGTTTTTAAAGAAAATTTGCTTTGTGGGAGCAAGTGGGATTTTACGTGGGAACCTCCCTCCCATCCTTCCCTGCCCCGTTCCTGCTGCCACACAACTTGGTGGTCACTAATACTGGATCTTTGAAAAGGGAAGAAAAACATTGCATCTATTTTAAGATGCTTTTTTTAAAAAAAAAGAGGGGGGAGGTCATTGGGGGAGGTCAGCAGCAGCAGCAGGTGTGTTGAACAATAGCTCAATAAGTTTCCATCAGTTAGGGACAATGATGCCTTCGCTAAGGAGTGCATAACTTTTTTTTTTTAAAAAAAGAAAAGTTTAGAAAGGATTACAGGGAAAAAAACAAAAACATGAAAATGTTGAAAAGAGTGAGAGAAGGTGAGCGGAATATCTAAAGCGTCAATAAAGCTAAATATCTATTTTTGTACAGATGTAACTTTATCCCTTGCATATTCCTAGATTATTTGGGGGATTTGTTTTCTTTTTCTGGGGAGCGGGGTGGGGGCGGGGGGGAGGAGGCGGTTTGTGTTTCTCTCTCTCTGCTTTTATAGAATTTGTTCTACGCCTCTGGATTGAACCAGCCACCAACACAGCCCTGTATGGAGGAAAGAGAAAGGGCTCCGTCCAAAATCTCTTCTCCTTCCCACGCCCAATTTGGAACAAGTGAATTTTGATATAAGAAAAAGTCTCTAACCCTCCCTGCACCTTGCTACTTTGGGGGGGCGGGGGGAAGCAAAATGCAAAACATGGCCTTTCGTTGCAACCCCTCCAACCCTCTCCCCACCCTCTCCCCACTCCAACAGCATTATCCTGCAGGTCTGCTCTACTGTGAAATCACTACCATGTATTATTGTTCACTAAAAAAATAAAATGAATTTTTAAAAAAAAATCTGCTGGAAATGCCAGTATTTTGAACAAATGTATTAGAAATGTTTAAGAAAAAGTAAAAGAAAATATATGACCATTTAAAAATATAATATTGTTCTCTTTCTCTTTATTCTGCAGTGGGTATTTGTGTAGTCTCTTTGCTGCATCACCTTCCACGATAGTTTTCCTTTTGGCTCCTGGGCTTCTCTGAGTGCATTTCAGTTCCATTTCAGAATGACATTCCATTGAAGAATAGCTCTGGTTCCTGCGTTGGACTAGATGATCCTTGCGGCATAGCTGCCAACTTTTCCCTTTTCTTGCGAGGAATCCTATTCGGAATAAGGGAATTTCCCTTTAAAAAAGGCAAACGTTGACAGCTATGCCTTGGGGTCTTTGCCAGCTCTACAATTTTATGTATCCAAGTCTAAGAGCATTGGAGTTTCCTGTGCAACGTCCCCACACCTTGTTTTGTTCCTGGGCTGCTCAGATCACATTTCAGTTACATTTTATTGCTTTTATGGCTCACATTTTTCTCCAAGGAGCTCCACCTCCCAATTTAATCCCCACAACAACCCTGTGAGGTAGGTTAAGCAGAGAGAAACATTGGTTATCTCCCAAGGTCACGCAGTGAGCTTCAGGGCCATGTGTGTGTGGGGTGGGATTTGAACCCTGGTCCCTCCCAAGTCCTAATCTGGTGCACTAACCACTATGCCACACTATTTCCTGGCAAGGCACAACAGGGGCCCAGTGACATGCTTTGTGGCTGGGGCAGAAAATGCAGCAGGGGGAAAGTTCAGAAGTCCTGTGAAGAAGCTGAGTGCCCCTTCTCTGTCTGTGGCACAGTGACCATCCTGTAACTCTCTGCTAGTTCTTTTGGCATGCTGAGGATAGGACAGAGTGTTATTTTAATTTCATCTCCTCTTCTGGTGTCAGGTTTTTGTGTTCCCCAAGCAAGAACATTGCGACACCATGGGCGGGATGGTGGTAAGAAATGCTGTTGCCAAGAGTGATGCCATGTATTGCAAGCTGGAGCAGCGAAAACTTCTCTGCACATTTTTTCATGAACAATACGTTTAAAATGAACGAACAAACAAACAAACAAAAAAACCCCTGCAACTAGCAGTAGACAAATGAAACAGATAATAACGTGTAGCATTTATAGACGAAGTCATCCTCCCTGTCTCTTAACACTACAACTCGTGAGCGTACAATGAAATTGACAGATAAAAGAAAGCCATTCACACAGCAAATAGTTTATAATAGCCCAGAGGAGACAGAGATGAAATATGATAGCCATCTTCAAATATCTAAAGTGCTGTCACTTGGAAGATGGAGCAAGCTTGTTTTCTCCTGCTTCATAGGCTAGGAACCAAACCAATGGCATCAAATAATAATTAATAATAATAATAATAATAATAATAATAATAATTTGTTTATACTCTGCCCATCTGGCTGGGTTGCCCTGGCTACTCTGGGCGGCTTCCAACACGCGTAAAAATAAAATATCAAACATTAAGTTACAAGAAAGGAGATTTCAACTAAACATCAGGAAGAACTTTCTGACACTAAGAGCTGACAGTCGAAAGATAAATAAAGTAAAACAAATAAAACAAATCCTTCCAGAAGCACCTTAGAGACCAACTAAGTTAGTTATTGGTATGAGCTTTCGTGTGCATGCACACTTCTTCAGATACACTGAAACAGAAGTCACCAGACCTTATATATACAGTGGTACCTCAGATTAAGAACTTATTTCATTCCAGAGGTCCGTTCTTAACCTGAAACTGTTCTTAACCTGAAGCACCACTTTAGCTAATGGAGCCTCCTGCTGCTGCCGCACGATTTCTGTTCTCATCCTGAAGGAAAGTTCTTAACCCGAAGTACTATTTCTGGGTTAGCGGAGTCTGTAACCTGAAGCTTCTGTAACCCGAGGTACCACTGTATATAGTGAGAGGGTGGGGAGGGGTATTACTCAGAAGGGTGGTGGGAATGGGTGATTGGCTGATAGGTATGGTAAAACTGTTGATGACTGTTAACGACTGCAATTGGTCTTACCAATTGGTCGTCAACAGGTTTACCACACCTATCAGCCAATCACCCATTCCCACCACCCTTCTGAGTAATACCCCTCCCCACCCTCTCACTATATATAAGGTCTGGTGACTTCTGTTTCAGTGTATCTGAAGAACTGTGCATGCACACGAAAGCTCATACCAATAACAAACTTAGTTGGTTTCTAAGGTGCTACTGGAAGGAATTATTTTATTGTTTTATTTTTTAAAATTTATTTTATTTTGTTTCGACTACGGCGGACCAACACGGCTACCTACCTGTAACTAGAACAGTGGAAAGATGATAGACTCTCCTTCCTTGGAGGTTTTAAAGCAGAGGTTGGATGACCAATTTTAATGCATGTACGATATAGTTGAGATTCCTGCGTTGCAAGGGGTTGGACTAGATGACCCTCAGAGGTCCTTTCCAATGCTATGATTCTATGACCCATCTAGTCCAGCATTCTCTTCTCATAGTAGCTAACTGGATACTCGTTATGGGAAACTCACAAGCGGGATTAGGGCACAAGAAGAGGGCATGCTTAATTTTTCATTTTTCGAATTCCCAAAGCGATGGGTGTTAAAAGGTTGAAGCTTAACTTGGAAAATCAAAACATATTTTGATTAAATTAATATAATTTATTTTTCCTTGGTAAATAGGTACATAAAAGATATTGACTTCATAACATTTTTTGTGGAAATTCCAATAATTTTAGTCTTATTAATACTTTTTGTGTAGAAAAAATGCATGGAAAATTGCATAAAAATTAAACTACAAAACTTAACAAGCTTTTTAACATTCTCAGTTGCAAGTGTAAACAATTTTCTCTGCTTTGAATTTGGCTGCCCTGCCATAGCTGTCAACTTACAGATTTGAAAATAAGGGACCAGCAGTCTCGAAAATAAGGGATCAGCAGCCAAAATAAGGGATTTTAGTCAACCAGCTGAAATACGAAGTTAAAAGGGACCAGATAATTTGGGAGAGCAGCGCCGGTTTTTAGCCCTTCGTTTCCAGAGGTTGCTGCTCAAGACACCAGCTGATGAAACACTGCAATTAAATAACTACAAGCAGCAACCACTTTTCGCGCAAAACGAAGTCCAAGCTACGAAGATGCTGCTGCAGTTCTGTATCTTTTCTCTCGTGTTCCATCTGCAGCTCTCGGTTCTATCAGGCGGGGCGGGAGGAAGGGGGGGGGAATAGCGCCTGAAGTAAACCTGAAGTAAATCAGACCATCTATGCTAGTCTACCACTACAAATCTATGGGAGAAGCGCTTGCGGTCCTTCCCTTGTAGCCCTTGGAACACCTGCCCGCGCCTCTGACTCCTCCTCCTCTCTCTGAACTGCTTTCTCTATGGTTGCTCTCCTCTCAAGGCTCCTCAGCAATTCATAGGCCATGCCAGGCTGCCCATCTAATCCAGGTCCTTCGGCGGCGCAGCCGCAGTACAGCCTAGCGGGAGCGGCGGTGGTGGCCAAGGGGAGGGGGGAGGCCCCAGGCAGAGACGCCCAGTTCGGCGGCCGCGAGGATAGCGGCGGAAAGGCCCGAGGCTCCCACCAGTCCCAGCGGGGAGGGGCTCCTGGAGGCTGAGGCTGGTGAGAGGAGGCCGGAGGGGGGCGGGCCGGGCAGCCAAGCAACACAGTTGGAGCCTCCCTCCTCCCTGGCCAGCAGGGAGGAAGGGAGAGGAGCTGCTTCCTTTGAAACCCGGGAAATTTAAGGGACATCATCAATAAGGGACAGCAGCGGGACACAGCACTGGGATAAGGGAGTTTCCCGCCAAATAAGGGACGGTTGACAGCTATGTGGCCTGCAGATGCTGGTTGCAAAAAAAGGAAACTCACATTAACTCCAGGTGCCCTAAGGATATGAAGATCTCAGTGAAGGAACTTTCTTTCATTAAAAGTCAGAGAGGCAAGACCTGGTTCTGTTGGACCATCAGATTAGCTTGAGCATAGCAGGTGAGTCAAAAAGCAAAAGTGGCAAGAAGATAAGAGAAGGCTTGATGAATATAAGCAGAGAAGAAAGCAGGATGCTTCAATATGCAACCGTATGAAATAGTTTTCTCTGCTGATGAAAATGAAGAACAAATAGCTGATGCCCAAGATGGAAATGATGGAAGTTATGAACCGACATTAAGAAAACCAAGTATGTCTTCCACTTCTAATAAAAATACAGAGTGCAACACGTTAGAAATACATAATGTCGCTATGCACCGCACCAGATATAATATTGGATGGGTTGTACACATGTGAGAAATATGAAGGCTACATCAGAGACCAAGAAGCAAGTCTCTAAACTTAATTTCAGTAGGGTTCTGCAATTAGGCAGGAAGAACCAGCGACACAAATATAAGATGGGGAACACCTGACTTGCCAATAGTACATGTGAAAGGGACCAAGGGGTCTTAGACCACAAGCTTCACGTGAGTCAACAGTGTGATGCAGCAAAAAAAAGAGTTAGTGCTATTCTAGGCTGCATCATCAGAAGTTTAGTGCCCCCCTAGAGTCCAGCCCCCCCCAAAGAGAAGTCATAGTACCACTCTATTCTGCCTATAGATGGTGGAGTTACACAAAACAAATGAAATACCATGAAAATCCCTGAAATGAGAAGTAATTGACTAGAAATATTATCTTATAGAAATAAAATAAATAATAAAAATCAAAAAGTTTAAGGACAACATTACAAAAACCTAGAATTGAACAAAGTTTTAATGGGATGCCAGCTACAAATCTCGTTTCACTGAACTATTCAGTTTCCTCAGAAGGAAATAGAGACATAAACCTTAAATGACCAAATTCAAAGAAAGGAGGTAAAACTCCCAAAATTTCTGAAGTATTCTAATCCTAGCTTGACCTAGGTGAAACAAAGCACAGTAATAAAGGATTGAGGACTCAAGGGTACAGTTTCTAAAACTGAGTTTACGAAAAAGGTTTGAAAACCTAAATGGCAAGTTTTAGACACAGCCCAGCTTGAAGAAAGCCAATCACAGTAATAAAGAGTTGAGGACTCAGCTGTGAAAATTTTAGTATTGCCTTTACAAAAAGGTTTAAAAAACCTAAATGA